CCTCTAGTAATATTTACTGAGAAAAATGGTGACGTGTTCAATACTTATTTTACCCGCTGTATTTACATAAATGAATTAGTTCGGGAGCTAACACTATATATTGCCATTAATGAATTAGCTTGTGAGATATCGCTATAATTTGCGATGTATGAATTAGCTTGGGAGCTAATTCTATATTTATTAGGTCAGGAGCTATCGCCATGTATACATTAGCTCAAGAGCTAACATGAAAGTTAAAAGGTCAAAGCTGAGGTTCTTCTTCCATGAAGCAGCTCTGTTGTCCTCCATCCATATTTTCAGTTACAGGCTGAGTCATTTCTACCTTCTCCTCTCTGTCAACGCTCTCTGGTTCCATTTAAAAGGGCTGAACATCAGATATTATCCATATTATGCAACTTGCAGCAGAGGACTTGCTGTGCAGTATAAATAACAAGGCAACTGCCATGTGACAATATTGTTCTTAAAATAAAAAACTAAACAGCCTAACAGTGTGTTCACAAGCTTGTTTTTCTATTTCAAGTAACGTTTAAAAAATTATATCTAATGTTACAACTAGTCGGACATCCCTTTAAACTTTTTTTATTGTTGCTGCAAGATCTAACACCAGTGCACACACATTATCCAAACACAGCTGTGCAATCATGACCAAACAAGCAGGAATATGAGGCAGAAACGTTCATCAGTAAAATATTAAAATACCAGAAGTGGATTGAAGAACTTGGCTGATTCTTTTAAAAAGCCTGCAGCAACTCCATCACATGTAGTTTCCCTAAAATTGCTTCTGTTATGTGTCTCAGTGACATTTACATTTTAATCTTCTCAACCCAGTGTAATAAGCTGCCTCCACTCACCGAGCACGATGGCCAACATCTGTGTAGCTTTTTTCTCCCGCGCGTGCATGCTCCTGAACCGTGGATTCATGTGAGAGAGAGACATCGGCCGCAGCGCCGTGTGCGTCCGTCCGTTCGACAGGTCCTTCACCTCACAGCCCATCCTGACGGGAGGAAGTTCCGTCTGGTTGTCGTCCTGCCCATCCTGCTCCCCTCGACCCTGATCCAGGTCCAGCTCTGTGCGGCCACAGGAGGCGTGGCTGATGCTGCAGTAGTTGTGCGTGTCCACGGGGGGCAGCACCGAGTTCTCCTCCGGTCCCGTTTTGGGGCGTTTGCGCCACAAGCAGCCCGAGAGTAGATTCGACTTAGAAAGGCTCGGTGGATCTACGCTCTGCTGAGGAGACAAATGATTAACAGTCAGTACGCAGATCCGATTTAGTTTCCACTGGTGGGCACAGCTAACCAGAAGGTTAGCTTCGTTAACTCATAAACAAAAATAAACAAWCAAAAAAAATAAAATAAAATAAAAAATAAAAATTGTGGAAGCCATACCCAAACAAGTAAAAATTAGCACAAGCYAACATAAACAGCAGCATTAGCTCATAATCCCTTAACTAAAAATAAAATTTTGCTAATGCCAAATTGCTAAACGTGACTTTTTTTGTAAGCTAACACTAAGCCAATCGTTCACCACTAAGATTACTGTCACTTAAGCTTGGATTAAATTTCAGTAAGATGTGAGACAACGGGTTGGAGATTGCGTAATTTTGGACGTATTTTCCTRAGCGAGTATAAACGAGCTGAAGACACAGCGGACTATAAATTATCATAGATTCTCCTTCTGCCCTCCTACAGCTCATAAACAGTAATGAAGATGGCTGGATATTGTGTTCTTTTTATTTTTTTATCACTCAATGATTTGTGTCGTGTTGGTGGATGGAGTCCATGGTGGAAATACCTTTTTTTAAAACAGTGGTGAAAATCAGCTGCGTGCTCACGTTCAATAGGATCAAATTAGATGCTTTTCCAGCTCTTTTAACATGGTTTTAAAAAATCATTTTAAACAAAATAAGCTGCAGAAGGCAGATCTGATCTGCTCCTCAGCACTGCTGGAGCGCTGTGGTGTTCTTCATGAACAAACACATCCACGAAGTTCAAACCAATTACACACTCCAAGCTGCAAAGTCCGTATCTCACAATTCTGACTTTTTGATTTTTTTTATTACACATCCACTGGTTCATGAGATACTTTGCTTGCAGACAAACAAAGTCACATACACATAAACACACACAGGCGATTGATGATTGCCTGGCTTTAACAGTGGGGAGCGGCAACAACTTGAGTTATAATTCTGTTTTTAAATAACATCATATGATACTCCTAAATGTTTGGTTTCATACCGTGACTCCATGAATCCGTGGTATTTTTGCTCAAGGTTATCACATTGCAGCTCTTCTGCAGAAAATAGCTCTTTTTCCAGCAGCCAAACACCAAATGAAAGAACAACACATCAACAACCTCTACAAACATTACAACGTTCCTTTTGACTGTTCAAATGGCCACGCTTTACTCTGTGCTCTACGTTCTGGGTTCCCTCAGATCTCACCTGTAGSGTTGTTTTAATTGACAGCTTGCCTCTAAGCTCATCGTTTTGAACTTTGTGCTTTATCAGACAAGTGCTGCTCCACTAAAGCCAACAAAGTGCTGAATAAAGCTGGTCAAAGTGGATGTTATGGGTGATTCATGCCACGAGCAGATAAACCACAAAATGCCTCCCAGTTTTTTAAGCCTCGGCTCCACATGATCTTTCAGGAAGTGTTTTAAATGTGTGACTGAAGGCAGCCTTTTATTCAGTTCGCCTGTTCATTTATCAAATATCCACTTTCTGAACCAGCAGCACTCTCAGCAGCTTTAATGAGCCCCCCGTTTTTTTATGAGTCATCTAATCGATTAACAGAGTCTAATTGTGATGCTGCTGGTTTTCCCCAGCATAGCCACGAGCTTCAGATGTTCCTGGTGTTCTTTTTACTCATATGATTACACATTTTACACTGAAATCATCACTTCTTCTGTTTTTTTAAGAAGTTGCAGATTAAGAGTGTGATTCAGTCTATCATATACAGACACACACATTGTTTTGTTGACAGGTGACCACAATGATGTACAGAAACAAGGCAGGCTTTGAAATCAAGTTCTCTCTTGGACCCCGAAGCAGTGACCACACAGTGGAAATTAAAACAAAAAACAGAGTTTGCACAAAAAACGCCTCATGAAAATGTACAAAACCAATTCTGAAGGACTTGAAACATTGGAAATATAAATAAAAAAGAATAAAAAACCCATAAACATCACCTGTGAAAACATTGTTTTCACTTGTGATTTAAGACGTTTAGCATGTTTGTGTGATTTTGGAACTTGTGTTCATATGAAACCTTTAAATCTTTTTATCAATCTCCACTTCACCTCAATCTATTTTAAATGAGAATTGGTCCAGAGAAGACCGAAATGTTTTCTGGATAGTATTCAGAATCAAAAGGGCTTCTTCTTTGCATGATAGAGCTTTAACAAGCATTGTGGATGATTGAATTGACTGTTTCTATGTTTGTGGAAGTTTTTCTGAAACTGTTCCACTATTTTTAAATAGTTTTCCCAGACTGGTTAACCCCTGCCCATTTCCATTTCCATGAGATCCAACTTCTC